GGGGGCTGCCCCCGCCCGCCCTTCGTCCTGCCCGCCGGCCCAGGTGCTGGGCGGGTGCCCTCGCCGTCGGGTTCGGGAGTGCGGTGCGGGTTGGGGGGTCTGCCCGTCTCCTCGCCTACCTGTGGGGTTCGCGGCGGCGTCCCCGCGCCGGGGGGCGGCGGGCACCCCGAGAGGGCGGGCAGAGCCTGAGCTTGGTAGAAGATGGGTTTCACGAGAGAGAAGAGGAACCTGTTTGTTGGTGGAGGAAGAAAACTCTAGGTGTTGCATAAATCTCATGCCCCTGGGACTTATTCCACACCCTGACAGTTACTGTTCTAAGTGTTCCAATTTGTCTTTTGCAGCTGGCTTACTATTCTTAAAACGTGGAAGCACTGTGGTGGTGTGTGACAAGCAGGTGTTGCATCTGGTATTGTTTACAAACTCTAAGCAGTTCTTCTGGTGTTGCTTATAGCACATCTCTGATCTATCGTTTTTAACTGAAACCCCCTCATAGCCTTTCGTGTTGCATCCCCTGAACTGGATGTAGTTTCAGCGTCCAACGTGTGCTTTTTATGCATGGTGGAACTAGTAACAAGGAGTTAGCTCTTGCAGTCAGTGGCGCTGTTATCCAAGTGTTGATTCTGTAGAAAAGATAGCAGAAGGGTTCTTTTGCAGGGCTGGAGAAGGATGTCATGTGATCAGTGCAACTCCAAAACTAAATGGCCGTCTGAATCATATAAATATTTATGTATATATGCACGTACACACACAGTTAAAAAGTAAGGAGTAAGTAATCCAGAGGAACATTAGACTGGAAAAATCGGAAGCTGAGGATATATCTTGATCAGCTGCTGCTTTCTGTTTTGGTAGAAGTTGAAACCGTAACGGGAGCCCATGCCGTAGCTAATCTGGAGACGAGCAGAGCGTTAAAGAACTTGGGGGCAGGTTGACCTAGAGTAGGGAGTATGGAAGTTAGTGGCAGCCCTGTTCTCCAGTCCTTATCTCCATCATGTCTTGTAACTTGCAAGCATAATTAGATCTTGCAAGTGCAGCAGCCAGGGAATTCAAGAGTGTAAAGAGAAAACTATGGTGTGATTGCAGCAGAAAGTATTTAATACAGTTCTTCTAATTCTTTTTAAAAAGCAATTGATCTTGACAAGAACTAGTGATAGTGTTCTTAGTTAGAAATTTAAATTCAGAAAATATGTTTTATGTACATTTTGTTTTCCACGAGCACTTGCATTTTCTGCAGTGTTACAAAAATTTTTATCACATATCTATGCAGTAGAGTAATAAGACAGCAGTAAAAACGTGTAATAAACTTTATTTGGACAGAAGATATCTTGCTTTTACCTTACTGGCAATCAATTTAAGAGAAAACTGAAGTGAAGCAGCCAGTGCATCCTGCTTGGAAAAGCAGATGTAATTGTTGAGAATCCCATGGCTCTTGTTTCTGACACCATAAGTCATTTACTTAAGTAATGTAACTATGTTAAAAATAAACCCCTTATTCAAAAGGGATTTATTGTTGATGACGTTTAATTCATATTTGCATGAATAAACAAATACGAATCTGCCTTTTTAATGAAAAGTCCGTAAGTGTGCTCTTATAACCACTGATTATAATTGGTTAAATGTCTCTGAAGTCTTCATCCTAGAGGAAGCTTAGTACGTTGTTTATAAATTTTTTGCTTTGCTTTGCTTTTTACTTTGCCAGTTGAAGAAATGGTATATAAATCCCCAGGACTTAAAAATTATGCAGTTTTATTTATGGTGAGCAGAACTTAAAATGACTGAGGTTGTGATCTGATGTGGCTTTGCCATGGGGGGGGAAGATTCTCAGTCTATTTTGTCTCTTCTGTTCTACTCTGGTGCCGTAGTTCTGTGGATTTGCAGAATTGGTCTAATGGGGGGAAAAAAATGAAAATCCAGAGGGGCAGGGGTGATGAGAGCAGGGTTTCAGGCTTAAATTAATGTCAGAATATGGATTAGGTGTGTATTTCTAAGTAGAACGTCTCTGAGTTGCTGTAGTTGCAGCTGATGGTAACGAATGTTCTGGTACGCTGAAGAGTCACCTGCTGTGTTCTAAAGTTTTGGCTGCTTTAGTGAAAAAATAATCAATAATGCAGAATTCATACTGTACTGAAGATTAGCAAGCTCTTACAAAGAATAGCCCTTTGACATCTGTAAGAGAAAATCAGGAAAATCTGTACTGAGATACAGAAGTCTATGTGCATTTCTGTAATGGAACCTTAAATATAAGTAATATATGTATGTAGATGCCATGTTGGCCACAATTTCACGTGAACATCTTAACTTCTGAATCTTGGTAAACACGTAGAAAGTTTTCATCCTTACATCCAGCATTTGATGTGTACATCCCCATTTTTTTGCTATAGAAGCAGTTGTGAGGGAATTCGGTAGTTAAACTAGAATGTGCAGTTAAACTTTTTACAAAAGCCAACTTTAATCTACAGTTTTCCCCTTCTCGTGTTTTCCAGTTTGTCAGCGTGATCCTGCAGAGCTGTGTTGGAAGCGTTGATACTGCTTGCAGGAAAAGAATACTGTACAAAAAGTTGGTGTAGGGGGGAGGCTGTAACACAAATGGTGAATTAAATTTGGATTTTAAAAAAATGAATCCTTTGTCTTTACACAGTGTCGTCTACATGGGTTTGTGAGATGGTTCATGCCTCTAGATTAGGTTATTAAGAGTTCTTAAGGTTATCAAGAAGTTTTTGCTGCTTATAGCATTTCATAGTTTTAAACAGTGATACTGTGGTGTGTAAGTTTGTATGTGAGGTACAAACATAACTCCAGGATCACTGATGTGGTAAAACTGAGGTACAGATTGTCTTAACCAAGACTGCGCTACAAGATGAATTTAGCTTCTTGTTCAACCATCGGAGCAAAGAAGTCACACTTCTAGTCCATAATGGAAATTTTTTGTCTACTTGGAAATAAGCTGTTAAACATGGAGGTTGTTTTCAACCGCAAGCAGAGTTTGGACAGGATTGTGTGGGAAAACAGCATCTCTGCTGTACGGTCTTTCATATTCAAAAGAATTATAGAAAATTAAGAAAGTTATATAGAGTAGTTATACTTCTTTCTTAATTACTTCAAAAGGAATTTTGTATTGGTTGGAGAAAAATCCAACTTCATTCAGTCGTAGCCCTGAATGAATTGTTTCACTGGAGGAAATGTCTTATTTTATCTGTTCTGTTTTCCAAAGTAAAGTAGTAGGTTATCCAGTGTAATATGATCTAGATGATTCAGCTTCTCAGCCTTTGTGTCCTTATTTTATTTCCCTTGTCATGTGAGCTGCTTACCTTATTAATTATTTGCTTTAATTAAAATGTTTTATAGCTTAGGAAATTGAAATACAATATAAATATATAAATAGTGATCTCTAACTTTTCTTAATTTGGTATGTGGCTGAACATCTATAAAATGGTGTAAGACTTAATGAACTGAAGTCATGTGTGATTATACTCAATACTGACAGACTCAGTTTAATTTTTAATGATTGGTTGTCTCCTCTCAAACAGCTGAGGGAATTGCAGTATAACCTGTAGTTACCAGCTATTTGAAATCAAATTTAGATACTTTTCTTATTTAAGCTGTATTAGGTTTCTAACTTGCCTTTCATGATCACAGAGTTGATTGCTTTCACAGAGTGCTCAGTATTACCAACTTTCTTTGCCTCTGTAGGTGAGGGGTTTTTTGGGGGGTTGTTGTTTTTTTTTAATAAAATGGAAGGGATTCTGTTTCTAGTTTGGTATAACAGACTGAACAGCTTGCTAGGTCCCAGTGGTTTAGCATCAATATAAACTTTCAACATTTGAATAAATCTCCTGTCTTAACAAAATTGTGATCTTTGCAATGGTAGGATACAGTCAGTGTATTGTTGCAGGTGACAGTAAATAGCAGCTGAAGAACCTTGTTTGACTTCCTGGGTTTTACATTGCAAGCTTAGCCGTCTGTGCGGGGAAGGTTGCTTTGGTAGTGGAAGCTTATGCTAGACTGTATTCCTAGTCTTGGTTAGATTTTGGAGAGGTAAAAGCCCGGTCACCATCAAAAGAGGGAGGTTTCTCTTTGCTTTATCAGAACTTGTAAAAGAAGTGTTTTCTGAAAGCCTACTTCACTTTCTGTAAGGTGCAACATCAAGCTCCCTTCACATCAATTAATGCATGCCAAACCTATTTTATTTTCAGGTATGTCAGAACACAGCAGTGAATCCACAGCACTTGATGAATCTCATCCAGCTGCAGAAGAGGTCCAGTCTGACTCTGAGGTGATTGGGTGATAGTTATATTAGTGTAAAATCAACC